CCGGGGACCTCTGGAAGAGCGGGGGAGGACAGTCCCCAGAGAGTTACCACCTCCCCGAAGTTAAGTTGGCTGCCCCCTCCCTCTGTCCCTCCCTGCCTTCCTGGAGCAGGCGGCCATAGCACGTTGGTTTTAGCTTTTGCTGGGCAAGAGTTAAAAAGCTAGGTTCTGGGGTGCAGATCGGGGTGTCACGGCCCGAGAGCACACCAAGTTGCTCTGGCAAAAGTTAGGGGAGACAGAAAAAAAAAAACGGGGACATGTTGACTTGGGCGTGGGGGAGTGGCGTTTCTGGTTTCTCCTGCTTCCAGTCCCCTCGGCCCGGAGCGCTGGAATGTGCCTCTCAGAGCCTCTGAGGACACATCCATATTTATAATTTATTTTTAGGAGAAGTTGTGAAAAAGGGAGGGGGTTTCAAGTGGGGAGAAAAGGTGTGTGTACGGGGGCGGCCTTTCCGGAACCCAGAGGCTAAATGAGCTATTAAGATGGAAATAATTTCCCCCAATTTGGGCAAGCAGCAAATTTGACTTTAATGAGAGACAATTAAGGGCACAGATAACCAAACTTTAGCTGGATGGGGGGTGGGGGTGAGAGCTGGAAGTGTACCAGGCACCACAGGCACTGCTTTGCTCACTGCCTAGGGGGACATTTGGGGCACCTAGCGCCTTCTTTCCTGGGAAGATTCCAAGCCCAACTGTGAGGCTGGGGACCAGAGAGGGAAAAGATCCCCCCATGGGGCGTGCAGATCCGTCCGCCTCCCTACCAAAGGACCCGGCTTTTCCTTGAGATGAACTATCACGCGTGCAGGAAACCCCTGTAATAATTCCTTCAGTTATCCAGGATTCTCCAAAATCCTGCCTCAAAGTCAGCCTGCCCCAGTGCTGTGAGCTGAGGAGGGGGTCACTTCTTGAGAAAGGAGATTTTTGGAGTCTGTGGTCCCAGAATCGGGGTTTTGAGGGCGAGATGAGTTTATGTTTTATCCAACTGGCCCACAAAGTCCCGCTTTTGGGGTCATTCTCAACAGCGAGGGATTCAGGCTCCAACTGCCCCTGGACAGTGAGGGAGAGAGCTGACATCCCCAAGCTGCTCCTGTAAGAAAGGTTGGCTACCTTTGGTTAAAAAGTGAAAGGCCATGTGGGGGGATATTCTTATATGAGTGTGTGCGTTTTCTCAGTTTGTTGTTGAACCTGCTGTGTTTTCAAGGGCCTCTTTCTTTGGGAGGCCAAAAAGCGATATGAGAAGTGGTTTGATGAGGTATTTTCATGGATAGGATTTAAAGAGAATGAGTGGCACATAGGTCACCCCCAAAATCAAACACTGCTGGAATCGTGAACCGTAATTACTTTAGATCTATCAGAGGAGCAACCCTCTGCTTACTTCCACGTGGAATCACAATATTTCTTTGCAATTCTTTGCCACCTCGCTCCAAGTCATTTTTAAAGAAACTCTGCATAAGGTGTTCACAGGGAATTTCTCTAAAGCTAGGGTGGCGGGGACAAATGCCCCTCCCAGAATAAGGTTAAGTTCATTAGCCTTATTAGGTTGTATGCATTTACACACACGTCCCTGCCCTCCAGTTGTAACCTACATAAAGATCCAGGTACCTTAAATTTATGGATTTGCAGACCTGGATTTCAGTCAACTGTTCACGACAGGGAATAGAAAAGTAAGCTGTACCTGAAAAACTTTTGAACACGAAGTCCTGGATCTAAGGCTCAATGTTTAATAGACATGGTGCATGGACACACAGGTGACAGCTGCACTCCCGGGGCCTTAGCAAAAGCCGTGTTTTATCTCCAGAGTTCTCCTCTTTGTTATGGGACACCATGAAACAGCATCATTTTCAGGAGTCCACCATTCCAGCCAGGGCCGGACGATGGGAAATTGTCATGTTGTGAAATAAATTGTGTTTGTGCTTTGCCGAATCGTCACCCCCATCGGAGCACTGGTGAGCTGTCAGTTCCTATTTGCTCTGCTAAATAAGGATATCTCACCAAATTAGCCTTTAATGATACTTCTACAAATAGGGCGTTTTCCGTGAATTACCGAGGCCGGAACACTGAACATTGCGCCAAGATCCTGAGCTATTATCGAGGTGATGAAGCCGTATGTTGAAATTACTGAATTGTTAAGTGTGGAAAATCAGGCAGGATTTAGTACTGAATGTGAAATACGAGCATTTGCCACACAGTACAGTAGTCACTGCTTAGATTCAGCCCTCTGAAACCAGGCATGTAACTATGAAAACGTTTAGCAAACTTGCCCCACCCCGCCCCCCGCTCCCCCCCCAACCTCCGAGTCTGGAAACAGGCAAAGTAGTATGATGGAGAGATTAAAAGTCAGCACTTTGCAAGTGAGAAGTCATTAATTCGGCAAAGAATCACAGCTTCTTTTCATATTCTTACCACCACCCCCTCCCCCACCCAATAAGAAAAAAAAATGGAACCAAGGAACACACTGACATTTTGCCTTTTCTCCTTCTTTTTCTCCTCCGCGTGAAATTTCATTAAGCAGTTGCTATCCCCCCCCCAAAGAAGTGTGGATTTAGGGGGAAAAGAAAAACCCCAGTAACTCTGAATTTCGTTCTTAGAAATACAGAAGCCAGAGCGAATCTCGGGGGGGGGGGGGAATGTTTCGATAGAAAAGAATAGGGTTTAACGGAGGAGGGGGTTTGTAAAATTTTTAGAGGTGGTATTGTAATAAAACTAATACTTCCTTAAAAATAAAACATGCATTTATGACTCAAACCAATGAAAACTGGAAAAGCCCCTACGAGGGAACATTCCATCTGTTTCTTGCCCCCCCTCCCCCCGCCACCTTATAGTAAGAACAGAAAGAAGATTCTTGCCAGATAATAAACTTACAGCGTCCTAATAGATGGGCTCCCCCTCTTTTAATTGGGATTGGAGAGTAAATACAGCTATTTCAGACACGACGCTAGAAATTAGTCTGATGGAAAGTTAAGGCAAACTCGGTCCGTACAATCACATGCCAGGAACTGAGGGCGTACACAACAATAGAAAACATTGATCAGGGTTCAGGGAAGCTGGAATTTTCTTCCTTGCCCAAGCATCCCAAACTCAGGAAAATGTGAAGTCCATGTTGCTTAGTTTTGGAATGAGCTGGAAATAAACCCTGAACAAAAGCGCCGGCACAAACAGGATATAAACCACCATAGATTTTTCAGGCAAACGCATAGATGTTGAAGAGAGTTTGGAAGGAGTGGATTTGGGAGTCACCCCGAGCCCCCCCAGCCCTTTTTGTGGTCTCTTTTCAGAGCAGCCAGTCATCAGGTGCTCTTGTTCAGCGTCCTCAGTTGCAGGGGGCATGAGCAAATATTTACAGAGCCTTATTAAAAGCTTCTGATTTAACATCGCCTTTCTCATACAGAACATTTAAGTTGAAGGAACCACAGAGCCAACTTGTTTCTGTGTCCTCGGATGGCTGCACCAGTAGATGAACGGGAGACACACCTAGAAAACGAAAACTGATGTTGGTGTCACCACAAAGCCATTTAAAAAATGCACTGGGAAGATGGGGGCAGATTCGGCCTCTGCTTGAGGATTTGGCCCAGGCTGGGAAAGGAGCGAGCTGCTGCTGGCCGGAGCCTTCGGTTAGCTGTGCAGCCTGGTGTGAAAGTTTCCTCAGAGGCGTGCAGAAAGCTAGGCTGTCTTGTTGGAATCATGCATGAGATCAGTGCCCAGGCCTGTTGGCATCTCTGCCCAGGACGGCCTGGACCGCTGCCAGTCCAGGCCTGAACGTGGCCTTAGAGCCACCACCAGAGCCCAAACAAGCCCCAGACAGGTGCCTGGGGGCTTGGGGGTGGGGGGAGGGTGTCTCTCCTCCTGAGACCTGCCCGCAGACTTTCTTGGCCAGAACGGGGGTGTTTGGCTCCCCAGGGCAGCCTCCTCTGAGACCCTGCAGGGTTTATTCTCAGTTAGTGGGCCCGGGTAAGGGCAGAACCCCGCTTTGCTAATAAGCAGCGCCCGGAAAGCTCAAAGGAACGCCATGAGGCCGTCCCCCTGGCTCAGAGCAAATCATCCTGTGCGAGGGCAGACTCAAATCTAGAAGGTTCAGGAGCAGAGCTGTGCTTTTGCAGCCCAGGCTGAGGCTCTCTGTTCTCCAGCAACAGGGCTGCAAGGCTTCCAGTTGGGGTGGGCTGAGGGGCTGTGGCACGGGGCCAGGAACAGAGCGCGCACACAGCGAAGCTGCCGCCAGGTACCTGTGTGTGTGTTTGCGCCTGTCTTCTCCAGCCAGCGGGCCTCCCAACCACCTGGGAGCTGAGCCCTCTTCTTTCATCAGGCAGCGAGGAAAACCCGGGCCAGGAGAGCAGGGGTGCAGCCTTGGAGTGGGGAGAAGGCTTTGGGAGGGCCATCAGAGGACCAGATGAGGGGACTTCCATCTCAGCCCCCCTGTGGGTGGGGAGAGAGAGAAAGAGAGAGAGAGAATGAGAACTGGATAGGTATTCTGGGGTAAAACGCGCAGGACAGAAAAGCCTGCTCTGCCTTGGCACTAGAACCAACCCGCTTGGGGAAGTTGCACCCAGCCCTGAGTCAGCCATTCCCACGGGAGTCCCATTTGGCCCCCAGTAACTGGACTCCAGGCCACCCAAAGGCCTCGTGGGTTCCTGATTAAATCTTAGAATGGCATGAAAAGGTCCAGACCGGGCACTTGCCGGCCAGGCCATATTTAGCCTTAGGTTCACCCGAAGAATATTTTAGGTGCTGCTTGAAAGAAGAGATCTGGTTGCCAGCTGTCACATGGCGAGTGTAGCATTCGCTTCCTCGCAGGCCTGGCCCAGACGGCCGGGTGCTTACCGGCACAGGTGCCGGAGGCCCTGCCAGAGCTCTGGGGCCACGCGACAGGTGCCACGGAGCCAGCGAGCACCCAGGTAGTCGGGTCTGTGTCGGGAAGGCTTCTCGCCCCGTTTTCGTTCCAGTGGCGATAAGGCCGCTTCCATTCACAGAAGTCACAGAGGCTGTTTTCAGTCCCTCTCTTTCCCGATGGCCCAGTGCGATATGCCAGCTGCTGAGTGAGCAGCCTCCTCCTCGGGTGTCAGCCACTGTCAGAGGGGTTAACTCTTTCACGGCCTGGGGTGCTGGCTGGCATGGGGGCCCCTGCCTGCAGGGCCCTCCAAGGCCATATGCCCCATGGGAGCCACTGCCATGTACTCCTAAATCCTCAGCCGTTAGTGGCGGGACCTGAGAGATGGCACCCTGGAACTTAGCACTGATTTCTTCCTTTTTAACCCCATCAGCGATAATCACTAGAGTCCCCTACCCAAGCCTTCGTCCTTCTTTTTTGTACAGCCAAGGAGACAGCTGCTCGTTTTCCAGATATTTCCATCTGGGTTTCCCAGATGACTAACGTCCCCATATTCCAGAGTAGGCGGTACTGGTGGATTTGTGGTTCCCTGAGATCGTTGATGAGTTTGGAGTGCCCATGCGGGGTCTCGGGGGAACGTCACAGGCTCTGGGAGTGGCCTGGCTTTAGGGCATGGACCCTGGAACCTGCCCTGGGGTTCCAGATCCTAGTTTCCTGGGTACAGAGGAGGCGCGTCGGCATTGAAGCCACTGCACGGAGACCCATTTAGCCAAATCCCAGCCAAACATGATCAGCTTTTTGAGAGCCTGGGTGGAGCCGCCGTGTGCCGTGAATGCCTTGGCTTGTTGAAAGTGTGCTCTAACTTTGTACAGTTTTTCCTTTTTAGTGTTGGCTCTTGGTGCTCTGAGAGCCACCACGTCTCGCCCAGCCGGTTCATCACCGCAGGGAAAATGAGGGACTTTTGGGGGCAGATGTGTTTCCATTCCACTATCATAATGCCCCTAAAAATCCTTATTGTTCTTGCAGTATTCCTCGGGGGTCCCTGGGCTGGCTCGGCTGGGACAACAGCTCTGAGTTCCTCCAGCAACCAAAAGAAGAGAGAAAGAGGTTCCTCCCCGCAGTGCTCCCTTCTGCTCCCTGATAGGTCTCGCCTCACAGGGCTCAGAACTGGCTACCGCCACAAAAAATAAAAAGCCGCCATCCACACACGCTTTTTGCTAAACATGCTTTTTGCCCTCCAGGGTCAGGATGTTGGAGATCAGGCCTGGGGAACAGGGCCAGCTGTGGCTTCTGTCAACATTTGCTCTGGGGGTTCCTGGGGGGAGGCTGGGGGAAAGTGGGAAAGAAACAAGTGCTACCTGTTTGACAGGCGAATGTCACACTCAGCCTGGTCCTTCCAGCCACCTCTGGGATCCTCACCTTGGCAGGGGCCCCTGCGCGAACCTGGCTTGCTCACCAGCAACATGAGATGGTCCACTTTCCCCATTCTCTGCCTCAGTTTTCCTATCTGCCAAGGGAGGAGCAGCACCCCGTGCTCTGGCCTCAAAGCATTCTTGGTCGCCCCTAATGTGATAAGTTCAAGTGATATACCAGCTCCAAAGGTGCTTTGAAAATGGGGTAGTTAGAGCATTCGATGGGGAAGGTGTTAATGCAGAGACAGCTCAGACAGGAGAGGAAGCTGCAGCCCAGGCTCTGCAACTCTCACTGTGTCACCCCAGGCAAGTGACTCAACCTCCCTGCGCCTCCATTTCCTCACGCATGAAGCCCACGTTTAGGAACAGAGGTTGCCCGAGTCTAATGTGCCCATCTGCTCGGTGATTTTCAGTGGTACCCGGCTAAAGATGTAAATGATTCTAATAGGCATTTCTTTGTACGCACCAAATTTCTATTTACAGCAAACAATTGGTTTTCAATTTCGGGTAGGGATAGAAGGGCCTTTTTTTTTTTTTTACATCAATTTCTAGAAGTAAAAAAGGGTGAGTTGCTTGAAAGAAAAATATTAAGCAAAGAAAAGGATAGGTGGTTTGAGGATGGGGCAGAAATCAAAATGGTAGTTTTAAAATTTCATAGGTCTACTTACTTAAGAGTTCTTGTGTATTTTAGAGATTTTCAAGATGACCCCGTGTAGGTGGGGTGGGGAGGGGTGGAGCAGAAGGGCGGGTTGCCAGTTCGAATCTGTCGAGGGTTCCACCCATGACAACCTGTGTAACATGTCTTCTTCCCTTGGGGGGACAACCCCTTCCCTGCTCACCAACACCGATGAGACCCCTCAGGCCTCCACCCCTACGCCCACCCATAGCTCTGACCTGTCTCTCATTTCAGGCCCACGATGCCCCAGCACCCTCCTTCCCTGCCAGGGCACCTCTCTGAGCCTCGATTTTCCCAGTGAAATGGAGAGAAGAATAAACCCACTGTCTCAGAGCAGCGGCCCAATCAGACAGCGATAAGGGTTCACAAACAGGGCACCAGCGGCCCTGGGATGGGCAGGGGGCATAGTGGCCCTCTTCAGACAGGCCAGCTTGGGTACCAGCTCCCTACCTGCCCCTGGGATGGGAGCTTTTAGGGGAAAACAGAGTGTGCTGGGTCCCAGCTGGCAGGGGCAGACTCTGGTTTCACTTTCTGCTGTGTCATGGGGTGGGGGGTGGCATTGGGGCCCAGCTGGCCAGCTGGGGCGGGCACCGGGAGGCGGGCAGACAGCTGCCGGCCCAGCTGCCAGAGCATAACCCACACCCACCCTGCCCTGCAGCCTGCCAGGATGGGGGCTGGGCCCTCAGGGTACCCCTTAAATGCCTCTATCCCACAAAGTGGGGAGAACCCCAAGTAAGAAAAGCCAGGATGGGGGCGGGAGGGTTGCAATGGTTTCTGTTGATTCTGGATCAGGGTTCTCTGTCTAGACACTTGCTTCCTGCCTCCCTACACTGAGCACTTGTCTGGTGAAGGCCTACTGTGTGCCACGTGCTGTACCAGGTGACGGAAGTACAGCAGGGAGCAAGACAGCCCCTGCAGGAAAATTCAACACTGTACGCTTGTGTTAGCTTCTCAGGGAAGGGCTGTGCATACATGTGTGTGTATGCACGTGTGCGTGTCAGTGATGTGTCAACTCCTGGGACACACAGGTAGGTCAAGAACGCAGACCCGGGGGCCAGACGTCCCCTGTTTGAGTCTGGATTCTTCCACTGACTGGTGTGTGACCTCAGGCAACCTCAGGCAAGTCCCCACTCCTCTTTGGGCCTCAGTGTCCCCATCTATAGGTGCTAGAATAAAAGTGCATATGTGATAGGGCTGCAGGTAGGGCGAAATAAACCAACAGCCCTAAAGAACTAAGGACAGTGCCTGGCATTGACCAAGTGCTATATACGTTTTAGCTCTTATCTAAGAATAATAAATGTGCACTATTCTTATAGGAGGCAACGTGGCAGTCACATCAGGCTGAGGACACGGGTAAGATAAGGTTGTTGAACCCCTCCTCCCTGCTCAGCACTCTGCATGCCTCATCTCACTTTAGCAGCCACAGTCAACCCTCAGGTGGGCCTTAACATCTCCTGTTCAGGTGAGGAAACTGAGGCTCAGGCAGATGAAAAGATGTGCCCACGGGCACCCGGCGGGAAAGGCGTTTCACCCCACGTGCGGGGCCAGCTTCATGGCTTGGGGGCCCTGCACTTGGTGTCATGCTCTGCTGTTGTCATCTTGAAATTCTTAATCATTTTGGAACCAGGGGCCCGGGTTTTCATTTTGCAAACATGGGGCCAGTCCTGCCCAGATATGACTTACTCAAAAGCTGTCACTCTGAACTCCTACCATCATCCATATCCGCTGGTCAATCCAGTGTTTAGTGAGGGGCTGAAACCCCAGCGAGAACATGAAGGCACTATGGCGCTGAACCGCCCAAATGCCTATTCGTGTGGTGCCCCTGTTAGAAGGCAGGCAGGGCAGCTGCCAAGGTCAGGGGCCATGGCTCATTTGTGGCTGTATCCCCAGGGCCTGGCACTTATTAGCTTAGTTAATAACTGACAAATGAATGGGAGGCTGTATCTCTGGAACGAAACCTATTTAAATGGCACCTGCCAGGAAATCAGGTTGTCAGGGGTGCGGTGTCAGCCCTGGCCACCTCAGCAGGCTTCTTTCTGGACAGCCCCCGAAGGGTGTGCAGACACAGGTCTGTTTGCTCTCCCTGCCCTAAACCTGCCTGCGAAACCCTGGAGCAGATTACAGATTACTATGTAACAGGTTCTGGTGGGGAGCTCAGAGGCAACACCAGTCTTTAGACATGCGGGCCTGGATTCCTGAGTGCCTGTTACTGGGGAAAATGCAACATTCAGCTGAACGAATGGTCAGGTTTTCCTTCTGCGCAGGTTCAAATCCCAGCCAGGGGTCAGGGGGCACCATTTCCTGAACTGGTAAATGAGAGGGTGTGGATTTTTGGCTTAAAGGTCCTTTTAGCTCTGAAATGAGAGTTCTTCTACACTCTCAAAGCTCCAAATTTTAAATATTACTAAGCAGTAAAGAATCGTCTCAAAAGCCTTTAGGAGATTTATAACAGTAATAAAATGTAGACCTTTTTTGCCAACTGTTTTCACAGGCACTGTCTCCATTGCTTCAGATAACCCTTTAAGTTATCTGAAGTTACTGTCCCCATTTTCTAAATAATGTTATCACCACCAACATATACTGGGTGCTTTATATGTACCAGGCACTTTACACGTATGAAGTCATTTTAGTTGCATAAGCAACATATAAGGGAGACACTGTGATATCTGGCTTACTGATGAGGAAATATGCTTAGACAGAGTTCACCCATTTAAAGTATATAATGCAGGGCCGGCCGAGTGGCACGATGGTTAAGAACTGGCTTGGGATGCCAGAAGGCCCCGGTTCGGATCCCACATATGAGGGCCAGGGACACTGCCCTCTACAGCTAAAATGCTGAACAACAGCTCGACCTGGAGCTGGGCTGCTGTGAGTCGCCGGCCATGGCGTAGACTGCAGCCCCTGTGGCAGTGGGTTGCCATGGGCTACCATGTGTAGCCAGCAACCAGCGTGAGCGGCCAGCAGCTGCAGTGAGCGGGAAGAGCGCAATGATGGTTCCAACTTGGGCCTGTGAAGCAACGTCCTCCACAACTAGATTGAAGAACAAAACGACAGCAACTTGTCTATTCCCCTTCCTCCAATTCCCCAGCACTGTTCCCATCCCCCCAATTCCCCAATAAAAAATCTTAAAAAAAATAAAAAATAAAAAAATAAAGTATATAATGCAGTGGCTTTGAATATGTTCAGAGTTGGGTAACCACCATAACAGTTTTAGAATATTTTCATCACCTCAAAAAGAAACTCTGTACCCTTTGGCATTCCCCCCCGCCCCCACCCCGGCCCTAAGCAAGCTCTAATCTACTTCCTGTCTCTATAGATTTGCCTGTTCTGGGTATTCCATATGGAATTATAACGTACGTGATCCTTTGTGATTGGCTTCTTTCATCAATCACCATGTTCTCAAGGCTCATCCATGCTGTCGTACATATCAGAACCTCATTCCTTTTTGTGGCTGAATAACAGCCACATTTTATTTATCCACTTGTCGATTAATAGACATTTGTTTACACTTCTCGGCTTTTATGAATAATGCAGCTATGAACATTCATGTGTAAGTTTCTGTGTGGATATACGTTTTCATTTCTCTTGGGTCTATACCTAGGAGCAGAATTGCTGGGTCACATGGTAACTCCATGTTTAACATTCTGAGGAACTGTCAGAAGCACGTCTTATGTTGTCTTTTTCAACTTTGTATCCTGGAAATTTCCTACCATACTGAAAGCAGAGAAAACCCTGTAACAAACCCCCATACTCATCATCGAGGTTCAACAGTGATCAGCCTTTTGCCAGTCCATTCGTCAGCCTTCCCTCTTCCCTTCTGTTTCCCACCGAGGAGCTGGAAGCCAGTTTGAACAATGCACTTTGTGTTGTTAACGTGGCTCACAGGCCAACATTTTATTTTGCACCAAACCTTCAGGTCAAGTCTCCTGCACCCACATCCTTGTGTGGAGGGGATTTGGGGAGAATGGAGGAACTGGGGCAGAGTCTAGAGTGGGTCATTGTGGGGTGGGAAAAGAACAGCTCCTAAGTGAAGCAAGACTGGCTACATAATTTGCAGAATGAAGGTATGGAACCCTTTATTCAAAAATTATTAAGTTCAAGATGACAACAGCAGAGCATACAACCAAATGTAGGCCCTATGTAGCTGCAGAGGTCACGTGCCCATGAGGCCAGCAAAAGGGTGCCCAAGCAGCACGGATTCATTGGACACAGGAATTTAGAGACATAAGCAGCCCTCACCCCCAACCCACGGAAAGGTTCCAAGAAAAGTTGGGTCTCCCATGGCACGTGGGACAGGGTTCAAACCACTGCATTTAAATCTCCAGAAATAAGATGACCCCAGCTGACATGTGGGTTATAAGGACTTAAAAAAACAGCCATTTGTCTTAAGCCTTCTTCCCTAAGAGCCTGCAGTTGTTTTTCTTGGCCACACCATTTTGTCCCAGACGCTGAGTGTACTCTGATATCACAGCAAGTGACAGGGCTGCAGGCTTCAAAACAGAGGCCTGCTGCTTAGCAAACAAGCCAGAACAGCAGCAGGACCAGCAATGCCCGTTAGAGGCAGGTGGCCATGGCAGACATTGGCAACCAGTCATGGCACCCAATCCCTCCCAGCTCAGATCGAGTTCCATGATCCTTCTCAAATGAACCTTATTGCCTGCACTTATCTAGACTCTGGACCCCAGAATTCACCCAGAGATTCACAGCCTTGAGTGTGTGTCAGGATGCCACCCGAGGATGCACTTATACACACAACCTTGTTATGAAGGGGTGTGCGGTACGACTGGGAAGAGGGAGGAAGAGGGACTCATTGCGAAGAGAGCAGGTAAGGACATAGCAGGTCCTCCTGTTCTCTGTGGGCTATTCAGTGAATGGGCGAATGTGCATTCATTCATTCTCTCATTTGAGTACCTACTATATATACATCAGGGGCGTGAGCAAGATAGTAACCAACAGGACAGGTGCAGTTCCTCTCCATAGGGGCAGGAGAGGCAATCATAAACCAAAGAGGAACGAAACACTTTCAATGTGATTAAAGAAATATAATAACAAAAAAAAAACTACAATAATAAGGTCCAAGTAAATCCTGGCAGCTTTGGGGTTTACAGAGTCAGAGTGAATCTTAAAGCGAAGCCCAGATCAGGATTGAGGCATTACAGAGTCAGAGTGAATCTTAAAGCGAAGCCCAGATCAGGATTGAGGCAGCTCTCAGCAGAGTGACTGTAGAAGCAGCACAGCCAGGACAGAATGTGCCAGAGGTAGGTGGTTCTGTTTTTTTTTTTTTCTGCCAGCATTTTCTCTCCCACTTCCGGCAACAGACCTGACACCCAAGGGGAATATGGCCCAAGATGGCTGCTCACTATACCCGTCCCTCAGCCACAGTAATTGGTCCAGGTGTGGACACCTGACCCGATATCACCAATCACAGCAGCCCGCTTCTAAGCCGGGCCACAGTGATTGGTCCAGGTGTGGACATGTGACACAAGCAGGGCCAATCCCAGATAGTCCTTAACGAGCTGGTGGGATTGCTTTTCTCCCCTCTCCAGCTTCCAGAGCTACCTGTACCCCGGAGATAGAGGCCAATAAGCAGAGAGGAGGAGAAATGCGAGATGGGATGAAGTTAGGGGAATAGGAGACATTGGCGCTGCATTCTGACCCCAGAGCCTAGCCTTCCAGTCTCTGGATCTAAGAGCAGCTCAGCCTTCGCCTTTCTGCATGGTAGCTACCCAAGTAAATAAATCCCCCATTTTACCCCAGTAAGATCCACTCTGGCTTCTGTGTGGTGCAAAGCATCCCGATTCTGGAATTGGAGACTGGTTCCCTCTTCATGGACTGTGTAAAGCGCAAGGGGACAGGTTCTCCCTCAGAACTCATTCTCGCCTAGGTGTGCCTGCTGTATATGAGAATAAGAAAATCTCCAGGCCTATCTCCACGTGCCGCCCCATTGACTTCCCACCGAATCAGAGCTAAACACTGGCTCTGGAACATGAGTTCCCATCCTCTTCCTGCCTGTCTCCATTTCCACGACCTCATCCCCAACACACGCCCACTTCTCCTCCCACCCTGCTGTCCACCATGGACAGTGCACGAAGCTTTTGCTGGCCTCTGCTCTGACGCCCACCATGTTGCATTTGCAATGATTTGTTTTTGGCTGTTCTCCCCATGAGGGGTGACCCTCAGCCTGGGAGCCCAGGTCTCTCATCTTTGCAACCCCAGCCGCTGGCACATGACAGGCAGGCAGCAAGCATGGGAAGGAGGGAAGCAGAGAAGGAAAAAGAAGGGGAGAGTGGGGGTCTCATTCCTATTTATTCTGGGCCAATCAGTGGGTTACTTGGAGGGTCAAGTTCCTGTACTCCAGTGTCACCTTCCCAGTGACCTGCACTCTCCCAGTCCCCGTCCTGACCCCTCCCTTCTTCTATCCTTTCTTATATACTCTTTAGCACCTTCCGCGACCATCACTCCTTCCCCATGTTCCATTTATTTTATTTACTATCTCTCTCTCTCACTGAAATGCCAGCTCCAGGTGGGCAGGTATCTTTGTTTTTTGTTTTCTGCTGTATCCTCAACACCTGGAACTCTGCCTGTCACCTAGCAGATGCTCAATAAATATCCGTGGACGAATGAATGCATTCTTTGTGTTCACCAAAACCACAGTTCTACCAGGCTTGTTTCCTAAAGGACCTGTGCACATCATGCATTTTACAGGTGCTGTGCAAGTCAGGCGACGTATTCGTTTCCCAGGGCTGCTGTAACAAATGACAGTTGACCCTTGAACAACATGGGTTTGACTGAACGGGTCCACGTACACGCGGATTGTTCTCAATAAATAGCTGTACTGTTTTCGACCTGAGGTTGGGAATCGCAGGTTCAGTAGGCCAACTGTGCGCACCGACCTATGCCTCTTTAAGGGGACTTGAGCATCTGTAAATGTTGTATCCTTGGGGGCCCTGGAACCAAGCCCCTGAAAATACCAAGGGACAACTGAGTTTCAGGGAATCAAAAGTTATACATGGATTTTTGACTGCGCAGGAGGTTGGCACCCCTAACCCTGCATTGTTCAAGGGTCAACTGTCCTACAAACTGAGCAGCTTAAAACAACAGAAATATCTTATTTCACAGAAGTCCCAAACCTGGCAGGGTTATGCTCCCCGCAGGTGCCTCAAGGGGTAATCCATTCCTTGCCTCTTCCAGCTTCTGGTGGTGCCAATGTTCTTTGGCTTGAGGCTGCCTGACTCCAATCTCTGCCTGTCTTACTAGTGTCTTCTCTCTGTGTCTGTCTCTGCTTCTCTCTTCTAAGGACACATGTGACCACGTTTAGTGCCCATCCGGATAACCCAGAATACACGCCTCCTCTCAAGACCCCTAACTTCATCACATTTTTGCCAGATGAGGTAATCTTCACAGCTTCCGGAATTGGGACTTGACCTATCTTATCTCTCTGGGGGCCACTAAACCATCCACTATGGGTCATTTGCACAAAGATCAGAAAGACAAACCTGCCCACCACCCACCCCTGCCTTGACCTGACAGATACGAAATGACAAGAGCGTTTTTGTTGTACTACGTTGCTCCAGTCAGAGTATGGAAATGATGTTTAAAACACCAGTCTGTGTTTTTTAATTATCCCAACTAAAAAAAAAAAAATACCATGCTTATGGGAAGAAAAACAGCACCAAAGAGCATAATGTGGGAGATAAAGGAGCCCCTTTGCAATTTCACTCTAACTCCAATTGCGCTTTGTAACAAGTCATCACTGTGTGCGGTCTGCATAATCCTCATACATTTTCAAAGCATATTCAAGTGCATACACCTTTTTGCACATCACATTACAAAAGTTGGGGGCATTACAATATATCCTAAAGACATAGCAGCCCTCCAACCCACCTCAGTCTTTCTAGTGACTTTCTCAGGTTGCACCTACTTAACCAGCTCCACACTGGCCAACACTTCAGTCAACTCCAGGATTTGGCTGTGATAACGTATATGCTCATTGGCACGTGTCCAAGTGTACTTAGAGGATACGTTCCTAGAAGTGGGATTTCTTGGTCAGAGGATATGTGCATTTTTTATTTCTACAGCTGTGGTCCAGGGCCCTTCAAAAACGTGGTATTATCCCCGTGCCCACTAACAACGCATGTGTGAGGGTGCCTGCTTCCAACACCCTCGCCCACCCTGGTGAGGATACAGCGTGTCAGGAAACAAACCCCAAGGAGGTAAGTAGGCTTTCTGTGTGGGCCTGGGTGGGTTTGGACACAGCCTCTGAGGTCGCCCCTGCAGCCCTCTGAGGCGATAAGCTGTTTGTTCGGAGTTCTCGTTAGCTTGGGTTTTATAAACAGAGGCCGAGTTTGAGGAGATGAGCCAGGACCGTGCAGCGAGAAGCGTTGTACAACCCAGTGTTTATTTCTTTAGTGCAGTTAGAGCTTAAATATGGTCAAAACATATTTTACTTTGAATTTACACAAACAAATATGTTCCCGGGCTGACACCTCCAGTGCCAAGTTTCTAGGGGAAACGAAATTCTACTGTGAGATTATAAACCACTAGGGAGAAGATGAGAACGGAAAAGCCACTGCAAGTTAGCTTGACGCGGCCAGACCTGGGCTGCTGAGAGGTGTCTCTTTCTGTCTTAGTTGCAGATAAACCTGCCAGTAATTTCAGCGAATGCAACGCGGACCGTGTAAAGGTCAGAGGATGGAAAACGCTCCAGTTTTGAGAAAAGGAGGTCTGCTCACGTTGGAAGCCTCCCTCCTGCTGGTCAGGAGACACAAAGATATATCCAGAGGGGCTGATGAATTGAGGGAAAAGAAACGAGGCCAATGTGAGTCGCCTTTCAAGGGCTGTGCTAATATAAAACCAAACAACTTGAAATTGTTCCAAGAGGGGATTAAAGCAACATGTTATTTTGAGTGATTGCTTAATTTATTGAGCTGCGGCGAGATCTGTAATGAAATACAGCCTTTGCAACTGATAGCCTCCTGCTGCAATTGAACTTGACAATTAAGGAATATTTTCCGAGGGTTTTTCTGGAACAGCTTAGGATTTTTTGTCCCTGATGGGGTGCTTCCGAGCACTCATTTTTCCATGCAAACTTTTTTATTTCAAGAGTGAAAGGCTGATGTTAATAAGCGGCATTTTACTGAGTGCCTTATGCGCACCAGGCGCTTAATATACATTATCCCTAATCCTATCAACAGCCCAATGAAGTAACTCTTATTAGGCCCTATTTTATGGATACAAGGTTCCTAGGTGTTAAGTAATTTCCACTGTCCAAGACGGTAGCTACCAGCCACATGTGGCTGTTTATGTGTAAATTAGTTAAAACGTTAACAATCTTAACAATTCACTTCCTAGGCTGCACTTGTAACTAGCTCAAGTGCCCACTTAGCCATGTGTGAGCGCAGATAGAGACTGTTTTGGTGGTCGCAGAACGTTCTATTGATCAGTGCAGTTGCAGAGAATTCACAGAGAGAAAGTGGCCAGAATTCAAACCAGTGCTAATGGGCTTCGAAGGTGGCATCATTCCATCATTTCCCTTTGCTTCCTTCTTCTCTTCCTTTGGCCGAGAAGCAAGGTTTAGAGCAGGGATTCTAAGCCCTGGCTGCACATTAAAATTAGGTGGACTGCTTTAAGAAGTACTGATGGTAGGTAGGGTCCTGGGCCCAGAGATTCTGACTCAATTGTGATGTGTGTGTTGGAGGCGGGGGACCAGCAAGAGAGGATTTTATGATACCCCACGTGATTCAAATGTTCAGCCAGGATTGAGGGCAGCTAGATGAGAGGGTCTGTCACTAGGATGGTGGAAGGAGCTGGTTTCTCTGCCATGAGAAGAGGATACCCTGGGAGCCCAGAAATGGGTGTCTCCCAGGGTCATGCCTACGCCTTTTCATCAGACAGTTCAGGTTCATTTCTGAGGAAAGCCAAGTGCTTTCTCACACACTTCCTGCTCTTTGGGAGACACAAGGAGGGGCTCTGTTTTCAGAAACAGGCTTTGTCACACTGTCACGGAAGAAGGGATATAAGGTCATAGAGACAAAGTGGGAAAGCAGCAACCCCAAGTTCAAATTGGCAGCATCGGGAGGAACTCATGCTAGATTTTACCTTACAGAATAAAGCACGTGTTTCCTAGCTCTCTGTCCACTGAGAACGTTAGAAACATGGCCAGTTCAGGAGCGGTGAGCTCTGCCAGCCCCCAGATTAGGGTCTCTAAATACCACTTCTAACAAGAAATAAGGGCCCTGTGCAGACACGGCTGATTCCAGGTCTGAGGCAGGACGCGTGCACAATGGCTCTGGAACATTCTGTCAGGTAGTCGGAAGCTGTCAAAGGCTTCTGGCATCAGGTCAGAAAGGATGCAGGGGACAATGTGATGGGATAGCCGGCCAAAGATAGGACAGTGAGCAACAATAGGAAGAATAACTGCAGTGGATCGAAACATGATGTATATGTCCAAATCTACAAGTTCACAATGATATTTAGAAAAAAAGCAAAACAAACTCATTTGTCATCTTTGGAGGATGTGGGGAAACCAACTCATTATTTTGGAAACTGTTAAGTAAAGGGAAAGAATTAAGCATGTCTCCTTTCTGTCATGAACCATACCTTGCAATAACTAACCCCTTGATAAGGGAAGTTTCTTTTCATAGGAGTATTCCAGCTAACAAACAAAGACAGATGGATAGAATTAGTTTGCCACCATTTTGCAACCTCTGATGGACCCAGACAGTGATCACCAATTGCTAACATCACCAGACATTATGTGCCTTGAAACGGAAATACAGAACAGCCACTAGGAAGTCACACACACACACACACACACACACACACACACACACACACAACCACAGACGCACACAAAACAAACGTAAGTCTGAATGAGCTTCTAGGTCTAACTAATGATTTACAAAAAATAGAGGGGAGAGAGGAACACTTATAACACCAAAATGGGGGTGCAATAAGCAAACTCCAGGCTGTAGAACAATCTAGGGAACAACCAACCCCATTCTTCAACGAGGACATCACAAGGGAAGAAAAGGGGCGAGAGAGAGAGAGAACCGACAGGTTGAGAGAGCCATAAGAGACATATCAACCAATCACAATGGACGAACCCTGTCTGGATCCTGATTTTAACCAACTGTAAAGAAAACATTTCTGAGACAACCAGAGAAATTCCCACACTCACTAGATATTTGCTGATATTAAAGCACTGCTGTTCGTTTTACTAGGGGTCGTGATGGTATAAACCCCCATCCCTTTTTTTGGAGTCAGATGCTGAAATATTTGCGAAAGAAATGATTGCCGTCTGGATTTTGCTTCTAAATATCTGAGATGAGGGAGGGGAGGAAGGTGCTGAGATGGAACAAGACTGGCTGAGAATTGGTGACAGCTGAAGCTGGGTGACGGGTAGCTGGGATTCACGGTACCATATAATCTGCTCTTGTTCATGCTTAAAATTTTTCACAATAAAAATAAAGAAGTAATGATGAGCCGATTCCTTCCCTTCTCTCAAGGGTATCCGGGGTGGTGTTCCCACCCACTGCTGGCATCTCTGGGGTAAGCCTGGGTAGCAGGTTTGAGATACATCTCAGCGTGCATACACACACCTCCTCCTATATCCATGACAACGAGTGAGGTGAGAAAGCAGAAGTTCCTGTCCTCATGAGGATCAGGCTAGGCCGCCAGCGTCGTGCCAGGCTCACCACAGCTGCTTTCTTTGGAGAATTCCTAGTCAGGCCTTCACAGGGGAGACCCCCACCAGATCCACCTCCTTGCATCCCCTCCCTGTCACTCTTGCCCTCCCTATGCACCCCCTGAGAACACAGAGACCCATCAGGGGAGAGAACAGGATCCTGAACTGGATGCAGGTTCAAATTCTGACTTCCCCACTTCACAGCAGGGCCTGTAACCACCCTGAGTCTCATTTTTCTTTCCCTTCCTTCCTTCCTTCCTTC